CAATTATTTATTGTTATATCATTTCAATTCGACAAATATCAATGTGCCGAAAACCAAGAGTTGAGATTAGCGAATTGATTTGTATTTCCAAGATATACACGTCAGTTTATTTTTCGATTAATAATTTTCACTATATTGATTTCAAAACTAGTTGGAATTGGTAGAGAAAAAAAAATGCTAATTTTTGGCCAATTCCAGACAAATGCTGAAACCTTTGTTTTACATTTCATGAGTTTTGACTACACCTTCTGATAGAGCAGAAAACCTTGTCATAGTTAGTATCATCAATCCAACAGTAATTAGACTCTTAATATGAAAAAAAATGTCGTCTTTGAAACTATGTTCTAAGAATTGGTGCATCCCTACCTACTAATCGTTTTATCAAAAAGAATATTAATTTTTTAAAATAATTTAATTTTTGAATATGAATATTTATAATATTCAATTAAAAGTAACAGTTACTTGTTTGTTGCATTGTATTTTTATTCAACCAGATGTCAGATTAAAAGGTATTTCACAATGACAAAATTCTCTTATGTTAATAAAAGACAAAAGCAAAAATAAAATAAACTAAAAAACGATCTACTTATAAAATACAAAAAGAAAATCTTTATTTAATATCAAATATAAATATAATTTTTTATTAGTCGATCAGAAAATCTGTTGTTTTTTTTATCAAGTACTAATATAACTAGATGTTGCAAAGAAAATGTTTGATTGGTTATTTCTTGTACATATTCTAAATATTTTTTGCTTCATTCTTATTTCCTTGATGTGCATGAACAATCGCTAAATTATGTAATGTTCGAGCAATATCTGGATGATTAGATGGTAATGATGTTTCTTGTAATTTTATTGCCGCTTCATATTCTTCAAGAGCCATTTGATAATTTCCAACTGTCAAGTGAATATTATCTAAATTAACTCTTAGTAATACTCGATTTGGATAAAGTAATGGAAGAGAATTACCATAAATTTCCTTTGCTTGTTCAAACTAAATCAAAAGATTTAAGAAAACAATACTTTTATGACATTTTTCTCTTACATTTTGTCGACTACAATCAAAGTTACCTAAATTAATTAATGTTCCAGCAACTTCAATATGTTTTCTTGGTATACTTTTTTTATATAAATGCATAGCACGTTTAAAACATTCTTCAGCCTTGATTTCATTACCTTGTTCAATATAAACAAGTCCAAGTCCATTTAATGTTTTACCAGCACTTGCTATACGATTTAGTCGAGCATTCATATGTAATTGACATGCACGATAAAAATTACCTAGAAAACGATGTATACGACCAAAATTATAAAATATACAAGCAATTTCTTCATCATTTGGATTTGATGAACTAAGAATTGTATCAAAATATCGTTGAGCTTTATCATATTCACTCATTTCAATAAGTAAATTACCAAAGAATAATATAATATTTGATTTAGTCATCTTTTCCTTTTGATATTCGATATATTCAGCAATTAAATCATCACCTTGATCAGTTGCATGAACTTTAATATACCACAAATCTTTAACAGCATTATATTCATATGAATCGATTTGAAATAATCCTCCTATAGATGCAAATAAGAATATCTATTTATAAAACCTAAGAATAGATGATTCAAAAAAAAAATTTTTGAAAAACATACTAGCTGAAGAATTGTTTGACTAAAATTTACATGTCATAACCCGAAAATACTAGTATTTACTTTTATTGGTGCATTGAAAGGAGATTTTGTTTTTTAGAATCATACACAAGTTATATTCTAGACAATAGGAAAAATTCCAAAAAAACGTGACGTAATAGTGAGAATACATGTTACCTATATATTTTTTTGCTACAGTTGATAATAAAGTATTCAATAATCCATTGAAATCAATATACTATCAAATATTTCTTCCAATCACGAATAATTTTCAAAGCCGATACGTTCTAATCCTCATACACCCCCTGATGTGAGAATGATTGTCTATTGACACCATCTTGAAATTTTTCGATCTTTTCTGTGTATATCATTATTTTGTACTATTACGGATACAGTATTATCCTTGTGTAACAGTTGTTTTTTTTTCAAACATATCGAACGACAAGTACACAAAAAAAATTTAGTACTGGAATATTCTTAATCTATTTCGATCGATCGATAAATAAAAATGTTTTTGTTATTTTTCTCTTACCAATATCAACGACAAATTCAGTTTCTTCAGGAAATGCTGAATATTGTCGAACATCAGCGATAGCAATTTTCTGAACAACATTTAAATCCACTGAATATTAGACTAAAGCACGTACAATACCTTCTTGTTTAGTAAATTTTGTTAAAAAATCATAAGCAACCGAACGTTGGCTACCTGTTGATAAATATTCATTATTTGATATTAAATTTCCAATACTATTTTGATAATTAGTCAGTTCATCTTTACTTAATTGTATAGCACGATAAAGTTTTAAAATATCTTTTTGTTTTTCTTTAAGGGGGGCCCCCCCCTTAGAAATGAAGTCCCACTTGGGATCCTTCGTTTGGGCTGAAATTTTCAGGGATGATTGGTCTTAGTGAGAAACGCTTATGATAAAAATTTCAGCTTCACATGTCCGACTAAATCGCAGTTTTGATTGGTTTTCCTACCTTTCAGAAGAATCGAAATAACTCCGTCCAGAGAAGGGATACAGAGCTCGGGTTAATTTCAAATTGTAGCTAGCCTCTGTATGCAACTTTTCATCGGACGGAATTTTGAAAGTCCCTTCCATTCATTTTTTACGAGCGATTTTGTGGGCATGTCTGCAAAATAAGCATAAAAAAGTGTGGTTCGACGACAGTAAATTCCACTTTTCTCAGCCTTGGGGTTCAATATCAAAAATCCGTCCGATGAAAAGTTAGCTCTAATCAAGACCTTTAAAACAAAAAAAAAATTATTGGTTATAGCTTGAGACAGGATGGAGTTATTTCAATTTTTCTGTCTGGAAACCGTATTTTGAGAAAAACGCTAAAGAAATTTTAGAACTGGATTTTTTCGTTCAAATCCAGAAAAAATCATATTACAATGGTATATTATTAATTCATTCCCGTGGATCGTTCTAGACTACGTAAGAGATGAAGGTAACTAACGCCATCTGACATGTTGGGTAATATAAAAGTGTTCTACTCAATGCTAATGCAAGTGACAACGCAGTTTTTTCAAAACTGAAACACCTGAAAATTTCTCCGAAATTATGTTAGTAGAGTCAAAGTTTTATATGATAAGTCTTTGAAAATCCGGTCATTTTCCAAAAAGCTATATATATTCTGAAAGAGGAAGCTTCGCCGCATCTTCCTGTGATAAAAACTCAACTTCGATATTCCCTTGAAAAATTCGATTTTCTAAGGGGGGGCCCCCCTTAAGTTCTTGAAATTTTAATTCAAGTTGCTCACTTAAATCTATAATATAAAAACGAAATTGAAATAAAACATCAACATCTTCTGTACAAAGAGCTTTATTAATAAATCTGAAAATAGTAAAAAAAAACATATCAAAGAGAATTTTTTTTTTCGTTCATTATTCAACTTACTTATTAACAAATGTGTCTTTTGTATACCATACAATAGCATCAACTGATTTATATGTCTTATCAAAATCATCAATATTTGCTAATTCAGTTAAATTTTCACGGTAATAATTTCGACAAATTGTAATCATAGGTTTTTTTGCTTCGATTATTTTTGGAAGATGTTTTAATATATTTTTAAATAATTAAAAATATAAAAATGAACCAGCTTCTTTTGAAAGATTACGTATTGCTTTTTCTTTTTTATTATATATTTTTGAACGTAGCTATGTGTTTATCAAGTTCTTCATGAGATTTGCCTATTCTATCCTTAAGTACTGTTTTATTTTCACAACAGTTAACAAGATAACTATGTTGTGTTTCAGTAATGTCGGCGACCGCATCAGATAATGGAGAATAAATAAATACAGAATCAATTTGTTTCAATTGCTTGAATAAAAGTTGTTGATGGTTGACCATTAATAACTAAAAATATTTTATCTGTTATAGTCTTTATATATTCTACACATTTATTTTCATCGGTAAAGGTCTTTAAAAACAAATTATGAAATTGTATAAGTTTCAAAATGAATTACACTGTAAACTTACGTGAACATCTTTATTGGATACACTGAGAATATCAATCACATTTTGATTTTGGTGTTGTTGATGTAAAATAAACTAATTTTATTCCATCGTAATGAGATACTTCTTCTTGTTCTCGCCGTCTATGATCATCATTATCCAAATCTTCTATTGTATTTTTTGCTATGATTTTTTTAACCGTATCTTCTTGATTGCGGACAAAAATTTTATCTGCAATCAAGTGGTAGCCTTTTTTAATATTTCGTTTAAGCCAATTAAAGAGCGACATATTGAGGATTTGGGTTGCTTCGTTTATTGATGAATACAATATATATGTTTAACTGATACACTTCTTTAATTATAATGATTGTGAAAGAGAAAAAAAAACTATTATTATCTTTCTACAAAATATAACGAGTAATGTTTTGTTTGATACAAAACTAATGGAAGAAGGATATCATTCAGATTTTTTTCTTGAATGCAAGTCACGTCATTGTACGAAAATCAGCAAATTTTTGATAAAAATAATTATTTACTAATTTATCAACAAGTGATTAATGGATTGAAACTGTGTTATATATGAGACAGATATTCGATGTTGTTTTTACAATTTTAAATCAATATTAATAAAAAAAAACCAAATCTATCAAATTCTAGAATAAATCTTAGAGAATTAGTTTATTTAATTCTCACATTACATTTCGATCTCTGTTGAAAAATCCATTTCTATTATTGTATCTTATTTTTTTTTACTCTACTAATCATATTAGTACTATGTAACTCAAAACAAATCATATCGCTGATAATACACTTTCGAAATGTGATTGATAAAAATAAACGTCAACCTTTAACGAAGCGGGTTTTTTTCTCTGTATCAAACTGCATCATCATCTAACGAAAAAGAATTCGTCACAATTTATTCATAATAAAAATGGATCCAATATTAACAATATACGAAACATTATCGGTAAAATATTCTGTTTTCAATTGAACATTCTCCATTAATTAGTGTTTGATATGTTCTTTACTATCGGTTCATATTAGAAATATTGATCACCAAAACAAGGAAATAACACAAGATTAATATAAAAGCATGTAAACTCGAGAATAAATAAGACAATTCACAGGATAACTCTATACTAATTGCTTGATTGTATTAAATAATATTTATTAGAATTATTATAGAATGAATAAGCCATATATTTTTATCTCTATAGGGATAACCTTAAAATTAAGAAATATGTAGTTCTTTCAGAAGAGAAGGGTAGACAAAAGCGCTCGTTTTTGTTGGACTACTTTCACTGAGTTAAATAGGACTTCGTTTTCTTTTCAACAAGATTAAATGTGTTGTATGCAGCTGATTTGCTTTCTTAAGCAGGAATGGATTGCAGGACACACTTACAGGGCAAAAATTTGTCCTGCGTCCTGCAAGCTTCAAAAAAGGTAAAGTATTGTGTAAATATGAGATATGATGTCAAGTATCATACAAATGCTCTTTATATAAAAGTCGCTTATAATGATTCTATTAAGTAATCTAATCATATCCTTTCTGACAGACGTGAAATGAAATGAACAAAAAACATTTGAGTTTACTAGAAAATCTCAGTGTCACATTTTGCAACAAAAATGAAATGAATAGAAAATAGTACTGAGATCCATTAGATGAATAGAATAGAAGAATAGCAGAAGAAGCATTAAGATACAAGGATAGACTATCAATCGAGTCGACAAAAATTGATTCATCAATTGTTGATTCTATTGACATTGTAGGTGAAATAGTTTTAGTTGATTGAAGTCAATATTCTTCTGGTTGAGGTGAAGATATTGAAACTAGATCATTATTGGAATTCATTTAATGAAAATAAATATAAAAATATGTAAAAATCAACTTCAACTATTAGGTGAAATATTTTGAATATAAATACTTCTATTATTTTAGTCGTATTACTTGAAACTCTTTTTTCTTTTTGACCAACGAGCACCAATTAGAAAAAAATAAAAATTATGCGATAGATTTTGCTAAAATTTGAAAAACTGCTATTACTATTAATAACAATATGCATACAACAAAAGCAGAACTTATGTCTAAGAAGTGTTGATTTTATTAGGTTTTCCATGTTATAACTGCTCATCGATCTACAATCCATAAGTAAATACTTTATTGAAATCGCTATGAACCTCAAATTCTTTGTGTAACTGATTTATTTCTGTGCTGTTTTCCATACCGTCCTGCAGGTTCTGCGTCTAAAAAAAGATTGTCTTGTTTCTGCATTGGAATAAGCAATGCAGGACAAAATCGAAAAAGTGTAGAGCAGGACGATGCAAATTCTGTGACGTTCTCTGTAATGAGTCAACAACCATGAAATGATCGAATTCAATTATTCAAAATACTCACCATACAATAGTACTATATTCGATTCGTATTATTAATATTCCAAATTATTCCAATATGATTTTGAACAACACTCAAAAAAAACAATAGAAGAATCGGCATATTTAAATATAATCGATGCAAATAATAATTGATTCGCTATATATATCACAATAACAGTTTAGATTTTATAGAAAAGTTTTTATTTATTATTAATAAAAAACTTTTCGGCTGATGTTGATTCGAGGAAAACTTCCGCAAAACAGTTTTTTTTTGTATAAGAATCAAGAATTCTGAATTGATTTGGTTGAATAAGTCAATTCGAAAATGATGACAAGCGATATAGATCTGTCTATGATCTATTAACAAAAGCGTTTCTATATTTTTGACATAAATCCTATATTAGAAGCTAATTAGAATGAGAATATAATATTAGAGAAGAACTCTGACCTCATGAGCACTGAGAACATCCACCGAACGCTCTGCATTACAATATTTGCATTGACCAATGCGATTATTATTGTCTTGATGGATGAATCTAGACGATGACAAAAGGCGCGTTCTAGTAAAATAAAGCTAACGAATTAATCTTGATTGTTTTTACCTTCGTTCACGATCTTGCTCAGCATCCAAATTCTGTTAAATGAAAAACAATAAGGGTAGAAATCAGTTGCTCAACTTACCATAAAAGATTTTGGGCAGTGTGTCTGCATCAGAAGTTAATAAAAATGAGAATATAAAAGTATAGTAGAACTCTAACCTCATGAAGACTAAGAAAATCTACGAAACGCTCTTCGTTACAAGACTTGCGTCGACCAAGACAATTATTGTTGTCCTGATAGATGGTTCTAAGAGATGACAAAAGTCGCATTCTAGAAAAATAAGACTAACGAGTGAACCTCGGTTGTTGGTGTCTTCGTTTATGTTCTTGCTCAACACAAGAATTCTGTTAAATGAAAAACAATAAAAGTAGGAATCAGTTATTTAATTTACGATATGTTCTTCAAAAAGTTGCCATTCAATCGATTTTCTACAAAGTTCACAACGAATAAGAGCAGTATCAGTCGATTGGTCGTCATGATACAATCGATCTGGAAACAAAATTCAAATCATAAGAATATGATCTATATGTCATAACACCTGAATATTGATTCGAATATCCATCAGTCGATATCGGACGTCTTTTACCGATTTTTTTTGGATTCTCAAGACAAAATATCTGCAAATACCAAATAAGAACAATTTTATTTCTCATGTAAGAGTTAAGATTTTTTAAAGTGCTCACTTGATGCACCTCACAGTCGACTGGTTCACACTCACAATTACAAAATGGACATAAGATAGGTTCCCGTATTTCTTCATA